TACTCGCACATATATACATGTACATGTATATATAAAGAGTAATCTTTACAAAATCTACTCGAAGTTTAAAAACAACAATGCGTTCGGGTTTTTATTTTGCATTTCTCAAGCGAGGAGGTAAATATCATTTCTGGTAGATTTCTGGCGTCGTTTCACTCATCCGTGGAAGCCGTGACGAGAGCCGAAGCCACCACTGTGACCCCTGGCAAAGCCATGGCCATGAACCCTTCCAAATCCACGGCCGTGCCCCCTGTGGAAGCCATGACCACCTCCTCCGCCATGAAACCTGCCGAAGGTAGCTGGGTCAGCCTCTGGGTCGGGGTCAGGCATGGCGCTGGCCCAGCTGATGAGGCCAGACAAGGTCACCATCACGACCAGGAACAGTGACAGCTGCAAACAAGGGATCGTTTGGAGGGATATTGAAGATGGTTTTGTGTTATTCAATGTCTCTATGGAAATATCTATGACTTAAAGGAAAAAAATCTCAAATCACCGTTTTCAACATTATGTTGTCAAAGTTTTCTAGAACATTTTGTTGGTAAGGTAAATAGTACTGAAATTAGGGGAAAATTGGAATCAGATGCGCAAAAGAAAATGTTGGACAGCAATGGATATCATAAGGCAATTTGAATACTCCTGACAGTTCTAATTGTAAAATATTTTCTTATCTCACGCAATGGTATTTGTACAGAGGTAAGAATTGTCACTTACAAGCTTCATGGTGAGTTTGGGTGAGCGCAGCAAAGAAGCCGGATGGAATATGCTCAGATCCTGACGAGTTCGAAGCTTATATACTTTATAGAATGAGTCACTTTTGTTCCTGAAACCTCGACAGAGGCTTTTCGAAGGACGCTGCTCTGTTATATGAAAGTTTGACCAACAGATTTCTTAACGGTCCCTTGATAATATGTAATATAATCGCACGCCAGCACAAGTACACATGTACACACACACAAATATATTTTTTTTATTATTATTGTGTGTGTGTGCATGAATATCTGTGTATTTGTGTTGTGTGTGTGGAGACATATAGACTTCATATATATATATATATTATATATATATATATATATATATATAATATATATAATGCGCGCGCGCGCGCGCATGTTTATACATTATATATGTACAACACACACACATGTACACACACACACACACACACCACACACATACACACACACACCACACACACACACACACACACACACATATACATATAATATATATATATATATATATAATGTATATTAATAGATATTGATATATAATACACATATATAAGCATGCTTATAGATATAACATATCATAAATTTATGTAATATATACATATACATAAAGATATAGATACTATATATCTATATATGTGTGCATGCATGTATATTATACACACACACACATACCACATACACATACACACACACACACACACATACCACACACATCATATATATATATATATATATAATATATATATATATATATATATATATAATATATATATAAACATATATGAATTGCGCACACATACACAAGGAACACATTAATACTTATAGTCACTCAGGGACGACATGTAGAACAGAAAGTGTAAAAAAAAAAAAAAAAAAAAAAAAAAAAAAAAAAGTAAATGATCTTAGTAAATTCGCATTTTAAAACCTTCTTTGCAAGTTCGCGTACAACAGAAATGTCGATTATTTTCTTAGCCTTACTTTAACCAGTTTTAATGCTTCAATAATGGGAAACTTCAATGGAAACTTAGCAAGCACACGGACATAGTTAGATGTGTGATAGCTTAAAAGAAATAGTTCTTTTCGCAGAGCTGTCTTGTGCATATACATGTAGATTTAAAGGCATATATCTAATATGTATACACATATATACACGAATGTTTACATACTAAAAAGAAACATGTGTATTCATATATACATACATATATATTTATAAACACACAGAGAAAGTATATTTGTATGTATGTACATATTTATATGTAAACATACTTGTACATATATGTGTACATACATTATATATATACATATTTAAATATATATATACATATATGTATACATACATACATACATATATACATATATATATGTGTGTGTGTGTGTGTGTGTGTAAAAACATGTATGTATAAACAATATATGTATATATATATGTATATAATATATGTATATATATATGATGCATATATATATATATATATATATTATATATATATATATATATATATGTGTGTGGTGTGTGGTGTGTGTGTGTGTGTGTGTGTGTGTGTGTGTGTGTGTGTGTGTGTGTATATACAAATCTTTGTATAGATATGTATATATATATCTGGGTGTGTGTGTGTGTTGGTATAGACATATACATATTTGTTGTATGTATATACATGTGTATATATAATATATATATAGATAGATACATAGATTTATATGTGTATATATATATGAATAAAAATATATATACATATATACATGCATACATGTAGAATATATACTATGCGTCTAAAGAAGCATATGTATAGATTCATATATATACAGATAGTATATATACGTCTATATTTTGTATATTCAAGAATTTACACCTTTATGTGTACATATATATGTGCATATATATATATATATATATATATATATATATATATATATATATATATATATATATATATATATATATGTATATATATGTGTGTGTATGTTTAAATATATATATGTGTGTATATATATGTATGTATACATATATGTGTATGTAATTTTAGGATTCTATTTTATTCTGCACACTTGTTTTCATAAATGAGAAAACATCTAAGCAATATATTTCAGACAAAGCGTCCACTAAACGATTCATTATTTTTAGAGAAAAAGATAATGCTTCCCTGAGCTGGTAGTGACTTACCGTTTGATGTGATCGCCTCCCTTTGCTGAGCCAGTGACACAAACACCCATGCATGTATATGTGTATGTGTGTGTGTAGATATATGTGTATGTGTATAATTGGATATACATACAGATATACATATATGTGTGTTTATAATCATATCTATATGTAAATATGTATATATTCATGTCATATTTATATAAACTTTATGGATAATATCATGCAATATTCATATATTTGTTTATGTATTGTATATAATAAATATATATATGCAAGTGTTTTTGTTTGTAAGTTCATACAATACCATATTGATAAATGTTAATGTTTGTAAATGTGAATTTACACGAATTTATATATGACTGTGTATATGCTTTTGTTTATATGTGTATCTGTAAGTTTATATATGTACACGAATTTAAATTCATAAGTATATACAGACATTTATACACATGTATACACCATAAACCTAAATATGCTTTTATATACACTATATATATCATATGTTTGTTTGTATATATGTGCAATCATACATGTGTCATACACACCAACGAGAAGCAGGTTCTAAATTCTCAAGCCTGGAGATTCAACCCAGGACTAAAGGGTATAAGCTTAAGTTCTTTGTAATATATACAAATACACACGCACATACATAATGCATATATTCATACCTACTCGCACATATATACACGTATATGTATATATAAAGGGTCTTTAAAATATTTACTCGAAATTTAAAGACAACAATGCGTTCGGGTTTTTATTTTGCATTTCTCAAGCGAGGAGGTAAATATCATTTCTGGTAGATTTCTGGCGTCGTTTCACTCATCCGTGGAAGCCGTGACGAGAGCCGAAGCCACCACTGTGACCCCTGGCAAAGCCGTGGCCATGAACCCTTCCAAATCCACGGCCGTGCCCCCTGTGGAAGCCATGACCACCTCCTCCGCCATGAAACCTGCCGAAGGTGGCTGGGTCAGCCACTGGGTCGGGGTCAGGCATGGCGCTGGCCCAGCTGATGAGGCCAGACAAGGTCACCATCACGACCAGGAACAGTGACAGCTGCAAACAAGGGATCGTTTGGAGGATTTTGTATGAGACATATCAAACAAGAATTCATTAATAATCTTTAAAAGTCTTCTCTTGAAAAGCAACTGACACAAGTCTGACATTTTGAAGTGTAATATATTTTCCAATTACGTACACTGGTTTTCGTAAAGAGGTAAGAACTGTCACTTACGAGCTTCATGGTGAGAACTGGTGGGCGTCGCAAAGAAGCCTGATGGAATATGCTCAGATGCTGACGAATTCGAAGCTTATATACATTACAGAATGAGTCACTTGTGTTCCTAAAACCACGAAAGAGCCTTTTCGAAGGACGCCGTCCTGTTACATGAAAGCTTGTTCAACAGTGTTCTTGACTTTACTTTAAAATGAGTGTATATACTCATACACACTCGCACAGACACAGACATGCGTTTATTTATATGTATAAATATATATATCTATACATAAATGCATACGCATGCATATTTAAAGACAAAAAAATACATATATGCTTATGTATATATATATTCATATATATAAGTATGTATGATTTATTTGTACATATGATATACACATACAATTTTATATATATATATATATATATATATATATATATATATATATATATATATATATATACATATATGTATGTATACGTGGACATTCATATATAGGTATATACATATATACATATGTACGTATGTATGTATATAATCATGCAGACACATACATGCATATATTCATTGTATAGAAATATGTGTGTATAGCCAAAACATATATAAACTATACACATAACAAACCTTTTGTACTGAGAAAAACATATATTTATAGCTATAATGATATATAATGACTAGTTAACTCATCTTTGCGTTCAGATGAAGTGCTCACCTGTTTCCTTAACCTGGCTTTTATTATCCTATTATTATGCTTCAGTAACGCGACACTTGCTTTGTTGGACAGATGCGGACTCGACTAAAAAAAAACGGCTCTTTTCACAGATTTCTCGCGAGTGGTGAAACTTTTCTGTAGCAAGTTCGATGGATGGAAGGGAGAGAGAAAGAATGAGAGACATGGGGTGAGAATAAGAGTGACAGAGTGAAAGTGAAAAGGATATTGAGTGATTGAGTTAGTAAAAGAGAGTGAAAGAGTAAGAGAGAGAGAATGAAAGCGAGAGATAGGAGTGAGATAAACAAATACATATACATATATACATATATATATATGGAAAACAAGGCTCTTTCTAGTCACTCTTTCAATCTGGTTCAAGCCTGAATCCTGAAGCCTTGGTTTCGCAAGAGGTGGATAACACACCGGAGTCTTCTGCCAACTGAGCAAAATTCTGTGCGTTACATTTTCTGAATTAACGTCATAGAAGGCAAAGTATCAATACTGGAATAAATTTACTCATTTTTGGACTGATGCTGAAGATTAATAGACAAATTTATGAACATTCTTGTTCGAGATATGAGTTACTAAACGATCCTATGCTAAAAAGCAAAGGAAAAAATCTGCGCCAAGGTGAGCGCTATTTTCCTCCCTTCAAGGAAACACTGCTTGATGTGATCGGTCTGCCTTCGTTGCAATAGACATACTATCATGTATATATATATATATATATATATATATATATATATATATATATATATATATATATAAATATATATATATTATATATATAATATATATATATACATTTATATATATATATACATATATATATATATATATATATATACATATATATGTATTTATTGTGTTACACATACACACACACACACACACACACACACACACACACACACACACACACACATATATATATATATATATATATATATATATATATATATATATATATGAAATATACTTTATTTTTGCCGATTCATTCTCTCTCTCTATAAATATACTGTATATTACTATATATTTATGTATATACATGCATAGATATGTATACACATACGCACGTGTGTATATATATTTATGTATGTGTCTGTGCGGGTGTGTATTTATAGGTATGTAGCTATATGTGTATGTGTGTGTTCTAATAGATACACATTAAAACACAATCTTATGTATATACATATATAGCCATATACATGTTGGTCCCATATCCATCTGGACATAAAGGACATGTTTTGTAGAGAAACATGTTAAGCCGCGGGATGATGCGGCAGGGTGGCCAGTTCCTTTCCGCCCCGACTTTGACCCTAGCATGCTGACGTCAGCATACCAGTGCTCATTCACAGCTGAGTCGACTGAGAAGGGCAGCCGGGCACGAACCCACGACCATGCGATTGCAAAGCCAGCGCTCTACCACTGAGCTATGCCACCTCCATATCCATATATACAATATGCATATATATATATATATATATATATATATATATATATATATATATATATATATATATATATATTATATATATATATATAAGTAGGCAAGAGAAATGTGAAAATTTAAATGTTAGCAGTTTTGATTTTGCTATTTATTTCTGGAGCGAAGTGAACTCCACCTTACAGAATGATAATACATTACATCTCTGGTAAATGAGTGAGTTCATTGCAGAAGTAGATTTCTGGCGTCCTTTCACTCATCCGTGGAAGCCGTGACGAGCGCCGAAGCCACCACTGTGACCCCTGGCAAAGCCATGGCCATGAACCCTTCCAAACCCACGGCCGTGCCCCCTGTGGAAGCCATGACCACCTCCTCCGCCATGAAACCTGCCGAAGGTAGCTGGGTCAGCCTCTGGGTCGGGGTCAGGCATGGCGCTGGCCCAGCTGATGAGGCCAGACAAGGTCACCATCACGACCAGGAACAGTGACAGCTGCAAACGAGAGATCTTTTGGATAATTTCTGTTGGATATTTTTTTTTTAAATCGTTATTTCAATTATTAGTATTCGAACCTATGATCTACAAAAGAAACAAACCAGAAGCAATTTCGGTAGGAACTGTAACTTACGAGCTTCATGGTGAGAACTGGCGAGCGTCGCAGAGAGACCGGATGGAATATGCTCAGATCCTGACGAATTCGAAGCTTATATACTAGACAGAATGAGTCACTTCGTATTCCTAAAACCACGAAAGAGCCTTTTTGAAGGACGCTGTCCTGTTACATGAAAGCTTGTTCAACAGTGTTCTTGACTTTATTTTAAAATATGCTTATGTACTCATACACACTCACACAGACACAGACATGCGTGTGTAAACATATATATCGATATATAAATGCATACACGCATATTTAAAGACAAAAATATATCGACACGCCTATCTATATAAATGTATATATACACACATATATAAATTTATATGATGTATTTGTGCATATGAAATACATGTATATACATATATACATATGTACACATACATACATTTATTTATATATAAAACTATAGCTTTGTGTGCAGCCGAAACATATACAAACTATACACACACACACACACACAAAATGTATTGAGAGAAAAACAAAATACAGCTATGACTATAATGATATATATTGACTAGTTAACTTAACGTTCAATTGAAATATTCGCCTGTTTCCTTAATCTGGCCTTTATTATCCTATTATCATGCTTCAGTAACGAGA